GGAGATGTGGGGGAGCAGTGTCAGTATTAAGACGAGGAGATGTGGGGGAGCAGTGTCAGTATTAAGACGAGGAGATGTGGGGGAGCAGTGTCAGGATGAAGATGAGATGTGGGGGGGAAGTGTCAGGATGAAGATGAGATGTGGGGGAGCAGTGTCAGGATAAATATGAAATGTTGGGGAGCAGTGTCAGGATGAAGACAAGGAGATGTGGGGGAGCAGTGTCAGGATGTAGTGGAACAGTGTCAGGATGGAGAGAAGTAGGAGAGCAATTTCAGGATGAAGATGAGATAAAAGGGAGCAGTGTCAGGATGAAGCTGAGATAAAAGAATATAAAAAAGAAAAGAATATAAGAGATAGAATGTCACAGAAGAGAGCCGGTGACAATGCAGATGGAGAGAAGAATGACTGTAGAGGAACTGTGCAGTTTGATACGGATGGCCATGACAAGACTAGTCACAGCGGAGCATGGCATGAGACTCCAGCAGAGATTCATCTATAGAGTTGAAGCAAAGTGCAGCAGAAATAATGAGTGCACAGACATGGGGGCAGTGTGGGCTCAACAACACCGGACGTCTAGAGAACTTTTATGACACCATTAGAGAATGAAAGGTGACCAGGATAGTGCAGCAGGGCAGAGGTTAATCAGTAAACTGTCACATATGTTATCTCTGAGAGATAGAGGGAGGAAATGCATGAGGACAGACAGCTTACTAACCGATCTCTACTCACTGTGTTGAAAGTTCTCCGTGTATTTCTTCTGTTAGCTCTGATGTCAGAACCGAAGGCACAGCCGAAAAGATCACTCCGCCTAGTGGCTGCAGGCACACAACAGTTGCTTGAAAAGGTCTGTGCAGCTGCGGTACTAAGAAAAAAAAGTGCCTTAGCCCGCTCCTGGCCGGGCCTCCCTCTGCCCCGGGCCCCATAGCGACCGCGTGGGTCGCTATGGCGGTAGTTACACCACTGGTCACAATTGGGCATATGATTAAAGAGGTGGTCCTAAAGCACCTTGAGCAGATTTGTTTCAGGCTCTTTACATCACCGTTGGCCCTGGAGATTATGTGCATAAGCAACAAACAAACCACCAAAAGGGCTTGCAACAGCCAGGCATAAGCTCTTCTATTCTTGTTCATACTTTTTTCGTAATGATTGTAATATGCATCAGTCATTATTAAACTGAAACTAAACTCAAGAATGAAATCTTAATAATGCATTCAAGCACCTTAACTATTAACAAAAATGTATCTTATTTGTTTATCCCTCAGCTGTAGATCCCCAAATCATCTCTGAATTGGTGCCGACACTGTCCTTCCTTCTGGAGGGTGGCTACTTTTGTTCCCCATGGTCCCTGTGGTAGCTACCACTTCAATCCCACTCCCTTGATGGACTATAATCTCACTTTTAGTTTACTACTTTGTATTAAGATTTTAGGCCATCATGGGAGCAAGCTTGGAGCAATGGCTACTTTACAACACACAGAGACCATGGGGAACAAAAGTAACCACCCTCCAGAAGGAAGGACAGTGTCAGCACAAATTCAGAGATGACTGGAGGATCTAGAGCTGAGTGAAACACAAATAAGGTACAGTATTGTTAATAGTTAAGGTACTTGAATGCATTTTTAAGATTTAGCTCCTGAGTTTAGTGTCACACTAAATTATTCCTTTATTGGCTGCATTGTTTTCTTTGTTACCTAAATTGTTCTAATTGGACAAATGAGCCAAATAGCAGTGAAGTTTTGTTTTGTCCGACTATCCTTTCCACCTGGCATTAAGTTACCTATCCTAAGGGGCTTCAGTCATAATTCAGACCTACTACTTAGGTTTTTTTTTTAATCAGCTCATCTCCTAAATCTTGCATAAACCTCTCTTATAAAATGCCTTATCTGAACCATTGTCTGCTTCTTGTCTGGATTCTACTCATTCATAGCCTTTCTCCTCTGGGGCATCTCTACATGATACCACTATCATACCACATAGAATGAAGAAACAATTAATGGTAAACTTGTTGTTGAAAATGCACACATTTTTAAGGCTATCTCCATCTCCATATATTTCATATCCTACTTGCTCAAAGTAATGGTCAGCAGCAAGAAGAAATGATTGTATCCCTTATTCCTTGCTATTTTACAAGAATGATTTATTAAACATAACTGCAGTTCTACTACGCTGGGGAAGCTTGTTGCCATGGGTGCAAAGGTAGGAAATACCCTATAAAATGCCCACTTTCCAGGATTTCTGCCATATTTAAGACTGATTATTCTGTAAATGTATGTGGCAAAAAGGTTGTACGTTAAGAAGATAATACATTTTGATTTCTTAAAATGTTCTAGTGGTTCCTTCCCAGATCTGGCCAGTATGTGAGCAAAGAAAGCATGGCATTGATTTTCATTCGTTTTCATTAAGCTACTGCTTAGTAAATTGACAGTATCGCTGACTCCCCAGGTGGCCAAAGCATTCCCTTAATCATGGAAGAGCATCTCCCTGTGGCCTGTCTTCAGTTGGGTAGCTGGAGGTTACAATATTACAGCAGCCAATTGACTGGTCAAAGCACGCTATGATGTCTCCTGCTTAGCAGTTATTATGACTTCAGCCAGGATATGGAGAACAATAATTTCAGTGAAAGTGGAGGGTAATGTATGTCCTAAAGCCCATCAGCTGAACACTTATATTAAATAAAATATAACCCTCTGTATTTATGGTAGATCTAATTATCTATTCTTACTGACATAACTATCAGGATGTCCATTGTAAACAGGGGAATGACACTTTGTATTTTTTCTTTGCATACTAAAGGCTTGGTTAAAGTATTGATTGGAGATGAGTTCATTAATTGACCCATTTTTGTTATTTGTCTGCTTAGTTTAATTGGCAAGGATATAGGAATTGTTCAATGTATCACAGTGCATATTTTTTTTGTTAATAACAATATATTTTTGTTTTATCATTGTAGTAAAATATGAAAGAATAAAATTCCTTGTTATTGCTCTGAAGAACTCTGTGGAAGTGTATGCATGGGCGCCAAAGCCATACCACAAATTTATGGCTTTTAAGGTGAGTTATCCATCATTTCTGTATAAAATGTGCCAGTTGTGCACTGAACAGTGATGGCCCAACTACCGTTAAATTGTGCCTTCCGAAATATACATCCATTCTCTTCCTTTCTCCTAAAAGGATTTCTAATTTATCATAAATATATTGTATCCTTTTTACATATAGTATATAATGGCTGGTCTATAATAAAGTATCATTTACTTTGCAGCTCTTAAATAGCAATGTGAGTGAAGCATACAGTTATTTCATATTCAGACATTCAGTTTTTACATTTGCTTTGAACTTTCAATAATGCATCAGTCACTCTATACAACACATTTCAATGGCCATGGGCACTACAAAACAACCACTTAGCATTACAGTGGTTACGACATATGTACGCTTTCTACCATTCTTTTTTCTTCCTTTGTATTCAAAGAAAAACACTTCAGATAGGGCCTTCCTTGTTAATGCATATGGTATACAGTATTGTCAGCTCCTTTTGCAGTGCCACAGAATCTGTATATGTGAAATAAAAATACAGCCTGCAAATAAGGTACTTTACACAGCAAGTAACCATTCCACACAGCAAGTAACCAAAAATCCATACTTTACACATTTACACAAAACACTAGCAACTTCTGCGATCATCCATGCAATTCACCTAAAGTTGTGAAGCAACACATGCACATCTTCATTCTAGAAACAAGGAAGGCCAACAACTGTAACAAGTTCCCAAAAGCAACTACACTTGATGTTGCTCTTGCATGCCTATGTGCCCTAAATAAAGGAAAAGGTAAACAGTGCTGCCTACATGCAATTACAAGGACTTGGAACAGTCAGAAAAGTTCATTATTTTCCCTCAGAGAAGATCTAAATGTTCTAACTCATCTGAACATCATGGGCAATGCTAATATGAGGTCAAATGAGATGCAAATTTAGAAGTGATTGCAGAAGACAAATCCTTTCCCACATCATTTTTAAAGGATATCTCTACCTTTAAAAGTACCTTAAAGTAGTACTAAAGGCTGGAATTTTGATGCACTGGGGATTTGCCATGTGCTCAGACTAGGAGGAGGTATGTGCTGTTGCCAATGGAGGAGAACCAGGAAGATGGATGGCTACTTAAGGTACTCAGAATCTAGAGGACCTCAGGAGCGAGGCTGGTGTCGCTCCTGCTGAGGATCTGTACTCATCCCTGCTCATTTGTTACTTCAATTTTTACTCGCTGTACCACGAGTGGATTTACAATGAGATGCTTAAAAGGTCTGGTGAGTCTGGAGTCTGTCTGTTATACAATGGATGTCTAGGATTCCTATACCCTCTCTCCCAGTGTGAAGAAGTTTAATAAAAATGTATTCAGCATTGCATTACTGGAGTGAATATCAGCTTTGTGGGCACTATAAGAGGGCGGTTAAATGCTAATAGGGCAGCTGAAGACCAAAAACCCCTAAACAGACTAGTAATGACCCGGTTATTCCAATGGCTCCTTGGGGGGTAGCGCTACATATACATTGGGACAGCAGGCAGGTAGAATCGTCTGGGTGTATCCAGGATGGCATTTATGTCTCTCCCAGGTTCAGGTTGTATACAGATTTTTTTTCCACTAGAGGGAGTTTTGGGAGTGCTTCAATGGTAGAGGGAATGAGTCCAGCTGAAGCAAGCTGGTTCATTAGCCCTTTATAAGAACTACCAGACTGCTCAGAGATTTGCTTCACCCTGGAACCAGTTGTATGCCTGAGTAGACTGGGGAGCGGTCTTCCTACATGTGTGGTGGAAAAGAAAAACCAAACGTCTGCGGTGAGACACAGCCTCTGGTAGTTTGTTCAATAGTGAGATAGATGCTAGGGGAAGGCACTAGGTTGCACCTATTTGTTAGTGAGGGAAACAGTGTGTGTAGTAATTTGCCAAGGGGCATGGGTTTATTTTCATGTTTTCGTTTGTTTTGCTCATTTTTGCTTGTAAATAGTGTACATAAACTGCACGTGCGTTTTCACCTGAATAAATCATTGTTTGCTGTGCCTATATTCTGTGGAGTGAACTCATCCAGGGAGTCGCACATGTCCGCTGCTGAGCTAACACCCTCAAAATATATATATGTATAT